TATATGCATATAATAATGTCATTAATTGTATATATATATTGTAATTGTACATATTAATTGTACATATATATATTCATGCATAAATGTACAAACACTAGTTGTACAATATTTAGCGATCGATATCTAATTGTAGGTTTAATTTAAATTACATTTATACACCCAAAATAGAATAAATAACTTTTGCTTCATATATATATATATATATATATATATATATATATATATATATATATATATATATATAATACTGCATATCTTAATTTAGTCGAATGAAATTAATAATGAATTAGATGACATAAAGGCATAAACAAAATGACATAACTAATAAATGCAGAATCATGAAAGCTTTAAGGAAAATATATATATGTACGAGGATACTTAAGCATATCAAAATTAAATTATAAAGCAATAGATCGAAAAAACGATTCATCCTTGTAATGGGAGCAGCTTGGATAATTTATTCAGCATAGAGCTCTTTCAGTCTTCCCGCTCACTCATTTGACCATAATTAACCTTCTGCAACAAGAATAATCGCTATTGGTAGATCTTAAACAGTCGGGGCAAAGAACATAGCAGCAGAGCACACATTGATAGTTAACTTTAGACATTGTTGACCAACTCTGGGGACGCGACGCCCTCGATAAAGTGCTGCTCGGTAAACGGCGGGGAGTCAAAAAGAGAGACGGACAGGGAGTAAAAATGAGCTGAACCGTGGAAACGATTCGTCGTCCGGTGGTCAACGATTGCTGTATTATTGCCCTCACTTATTCCGGATACCGATAATCGCAAGTTTCCGGTTGCTTATATTGCATTACGCGTGTCACTATGTTTTACAAATACGTATTTCTCTCGCCCGCCTGAGTTTAGCTGAAAGAGCATTTATGTTTACGTACATACGCACATGTACACGTGCGCGCACACACGCATATACACACCTCCCTAAATTTCCCTTTTACCCTTTAGCTCTACATACATATATCTTAGCAGACCAATAGTCAATTAATGACGTTCGGAAATAAGTTTTATACAGGTAATAAGTGTGACCATTTTTTAATATTTTACATAATTAATGTAAGAAAATGAAAGAAAGTATGACGCTACGATTTGATATTTTTCCAGGATACATCAATTTATTCTTTTGTTTATTTGTATTAGATTTTCCGCAATCGCTTTTAATATTTATCACACTTAACTTGCACTCTACTCTGTTAACTATCATATACATTGGAGAATTATTTTTAATCAGTAAAGAAATTTTTTTTTTTTTTTTTTTTTTTTTTTTTTTTTTTAATAAATACTCAGCAAAAATACTCACATAATCGGTGTACTCTGCTTAAATTATTTTATTCTAAGCAATGTTAATAACTTAAATAGATCTAAGATCTCTAACTTAAGTAGATCTCTTCTACAACACATTAAAGTCCATTGGAATTAAACAGCATATTCTTTAAAATTTTTAATATTATCATAATTATTATCTGATTCAATTAAATATATGAGAATTGAAAGAAAGACAAAATTGTCGTAGCAATAAATTCTGTATAAACGATTAGATGAATTTTGTAATGATAAAATATAATCGGTTTCCATAAAATAAAATCACTTATTTTTTACGTTACTTGCAGTTATCGTATAAAAATTTATAATATAAAATATGTAAGCAGTTTTTATTATTTATACTGCAATTTATCGCTAAAGCCATATAGAATCTAATTCATTCATGGTATTTTTCGGGATTTTCCAATCAGAGCTTTGTAAAAATTATTTAATATTTAAACTGATAATCAAAAAAATGAATTACGATAGTGTAACTATTTTATTCTGTAAATTTTTAAATAATCACAGTTTATTTAATGAAATACATGACAACCAATAATACTTTATTTATTTATTAATACTAATATCCATTTATTTAATATAAACTAAATTTAACTTATTGAATTAATTTTGAACAATGCTTATTTAATGTTGTTCAATTAATTTTTTTATTTACAAATGTAGAAATGCATCTCTAATATATATAGTTATTTAAAAAAAAATTAATTTCAAATATTTCTTTAATATAAATGTAAACTATTAAATGTAGTTTATAACATTAATTGTATTTTTTTATATTCTATAGCTATCATAAAAACTTTAAATGTGTAAATTTAGAAATATTTAACAGGCATAAAAAATTTTATATAAATTTAAGTTATATTTTAATAGAAAAAATTTTGAAAACCACTTTGTCATCGATTTAATAATGTAATAATATATTTCTTGAAAAAGAAAACAAAATCATTTATTCAGCATTTATTTGGCATAATAAAAGAGAAAAAGCTCTTAAATCTTTTATAAAGATATATGAAGTTATTTAATATCTATAGAAAAATGTGTAAAAATACAATAGTTGTTTTATAAAATTTTCAATCATTATTAATATAGTAAATAAATATCTGGTATTAACAAAACACTTTAACCACTTTGATCATATTATAAACTTTTTAACATAAATTATTTGAAGCGATATTAACTTTAGACGATAAGATTAATGTATTTTTAAATACTCATCTGTTATATTCGATTTCAAAGGTAATATTCCTTGATTATCATTCCTAATTATAACAGTTTACTTTTTATAATGATAATACATAAAATATAAAATTAGAGTAGAAGAATTAATTAGAATTAATCTTAAATGAACATGAATTTGAATGTGTAAATAAAATTTGAAAGTTGCTGAGGTAATCATTGTTAAAATCTTGTGACGAATGTACATGAATATTGAAATTGAAAATGGAACATCCAATATTTATAAAAATAAATAATACCTAAACATGTTAATTACTTTTAAATGTAGAAAATAATTTTTGTAATTCAAAATATTTAATTAGTTTCAATGATCAAATTTATGATTTTATAATTTACATAAAATCTGTAATTAAATCATTTATAATTTTTAAAGCGCATTTTTAAAATTTTTTAAAAAATTTTTAAATTAAAAAAATATACTCCTTAATAATTGAAATTTCAGATATTACTTCCATCATAATATATGAATTATTATATAATTAATAAGAATATTATTTCCTAAAAATAATCCTAAAACTAATAAATGCATATAATGAAAGTACACAATGAAAACTTTTCTTTACAAAGAAAATTTGTATCATGAAAAAAATATAGATTTTATTAGTTTCTAAATAAGAATTATAATTAAAACACTTGAGTGTCGTGTAATCCTCAGTTTAAGTTTGAAAATCTAGCGTATCTTTAATTCATATATTACAATGCATTATCCGTAATTGTTACATAACTTTTACATCGAAAAAAAAAAAAAAAAAAAAAAAAAAAAAAATGCTATTCCATTTGAAAAAACGCAAAATAGCATAAATTCTTGAACTCTGTATTGAATCGCTTTGGGAGCAAAAAAATATCGAATGAGCGAATATAAGAGGACAAGTATGAAGTGAAGACGAAGGGAAAAAGGACATGTCGCTTACAGAGCTATTGTATTCAGAGAAAAACAGTGCACTTTGGAGCTAAATATTCCAGGGATGTTAATTCTTTCTAATTAGATGATTTCACCACAGCATTCGCTCGCTCTAACAAAGGTTGTCGGCAAATTGCACGCTCTCGCTATTGACATCAGACGAGTCCTCGCTATTTATAGGGATATGTCGCATGCAAGCATTGCGCATTTATGCATATGCGATGTTCGAACTGAGGCCATAAACTATATGTGATCGAGAAAATTAACGCTTATAAAAAATGATCCATTGCTGTCTCATCTATTGCTATAATAATGTCATCTCATCGCATTACTGCAAATATCTTATTGTAGGGATTGCATGCTAACTAAATCATACCGCGACAATGTGTTGCATTATTCACTAAATACTGTGCTCGAGCCCAGCAGTACAAGCAATCACACGCTAATAAAATACATTAAATGATTTATTAATTTAAGTAATAGGTAATCTACGTTCATTTACACCGTATAATAAATATCTAAGTATTAAATTTGAAATATACAAATCCCGAATTAAAAAAATTTACACATATTATCTATATTAACGTCTTCTTTTGCTACACATTATGTCACATTATATTACGATTTGAAAATTTAGTTTCATTGTATCGAAGTAGTTAAAAAGTATATAATAATGTGTGTGCTTTGTGTGTGCGTGTGCGTGCGCGTTTGAGTCGAAATGAAATAAACTAGTGTAAAGCTTAACAATAGCTATGCTAATTATAGAGTAATGAAAATAGAATACAAAATATAAAGATGCAAAAAGTTGAGTTTTTAAATGCGGAAATTATAGTCTTATCAACTTATAACAACTAATCGATTTAAGGCATTATTCACAATTTTCTGCGTATTTTGTTGAATTAAAGTTATTAGATTGAGATATAGTATTTATTAAATCTATAGCTTATATTATTAAAGATAAAGAAAAAAAAAATTGGATTAAAATGTATGCATATGAATGTAGCAAACAAACAAAAAAAAAAAAAAAAAAAATCAAGGATAGACAAAAAAGTGATTCTTATTCCTAATAACTAATAATAATTATTGCTATAACATTTTTACTTTAGCACAATAAGGAAGTGCAATTACAGCATGAGCTTATATCCTGAGTCGATAAATTACGTAGGCGTAGAATTAGTCTACCTTGTAACTTTCAAAGAGGTCTTTAATTTTCGATATAATGAAACATATGCAAGCTCATGGTTAATCGTGATCTGAGAGCTTTGAGAGCTCAAAGAATAATATCGCCTCTCCTTGTTGCGTAGACCTATAAATTAATATCACTAAATTAAGAGCATTTCGTTGCTGGTCAATGTCAACTGGTCAAAGTTTGGGCCAAAAAGATTAGCTGGAGTTCCGATACTTTAAGCCTGAAAGTTTCGGAGCTTGCCCTAACTTACCCTAACCTGCCCATTTCTCTCTCGCCCCTGGACGGGGTCGCACGACCTTGGCCTCTTAAAACAAGCGCTCAATTAAAGAAGGTCACCTGCATCTGGAGCCAGGAGTAATCGACGTAGGCCGGCGCGGCGTGTCCTGGCTGTGCCTGCCCTGACTGCCAGGGCTGGGCCTCCTGAGCTCCCAGCATTCCTGACAACCCCTGAGCGTCGACATTGCCGACGGGCGTCACGCGCTCCGGTACTATTTGGTCTGCGTAGTGTCCGTAACTGGCGACGAGCGCTTGCTGTTGCAAAACCAGCACCGCCGGCGTCGTCGACGGCTGCTGCTGCTGCTGCTGCTGCTGCTGCTGCTGCTGCTGTTGTTGTTGCTGATGTTGCTGTTGCTGTTGCTGTTGCTGTTGCTGATGCTGATGCTGATGCTGCTGCTGCTGCTGCTGCTGTTGCTGCTGCTGTTGCTGCTGCTGCTGTTGTAGCGGTAGCTGTTCCTGCTGTTGGTGTTGATGGTGTTGCTGGTGAGCCTGATGCTGCGCTTGATGCTGTTGCAGCTGATGAGCCTGATGCTGCTGGACGGTCTGGCCGAGTCCGCCGCCTGACAGGCAGCACACGCTCGCCTCCATACGGCTCCAGCGGCTAGCGGCCGGCGGCGACTCGCCCTCGCTGTCCTCGTCACGATAGAACAGCTGCTCGTCCTCGCACGAGAGTCCGAGCCCAGGGCTCCCCCTGGCGCTGTCGCCGCCGCTAGCTCTCCTGGCTTGGAGGACGGCCGGCCAGCGAGGCATCCAAACGGCCTCCACGGCGGCCGGCGCTCCCCCTCGGACTCCTAGTGCCTGGCTCGGTGACGGTGGCCCCGGCCGGCATCCGCCCGCGCCCGGGCCCCTTCCATTCCTCGTGACACCGTAGGGGATGACGAGGAGTCTCTTGAACGAGCTAGGGGCACACGCGATCTCGGTCCTGAGACGCGCGCTCGGAGCACAGCGAAGAGTCACGCACGCGCACGCGCGACGAGCGTCAGGGCAACGGTTCCGCGCTAACTGGCCGACATCGAAGCGAGTGGACTCAGGGGGCCCCCGCGATCACGCCCCGCCGGCAGCGCGCGCCGCCTCCCACCCGAACCGCCGCGAGATCCACTCTTTACCTCTTCCACCCTCTCGCTCACCCCACCCCCTATCTATCTATCTATCTATCTATCTATCTATCTATCTATCTATCTATCTATCTATCTATCTATCTATCTATCTATCTATCTATCTATCTATCTATCTATCTATCTATCTATCTATCTATCTATCTATCTATCTATCTATCTATCTATCTATCTATCTATCTATCTATCTATCTATCTATCTATCTATCTATCTATCTATCTATCTATCTATCTATCTATCTATCTATCTATCTATCTGTCTATGTATCTATCTATCTCTCTATATATCTTTCTATCTATCTATCTATCTGCAGTTTTACCTCTCTCTAGCTCAACCAGTGTCGCCCCCCCCTGACCATCCTGCTCCGCTGCGAGCGCGCGTACACGAGCCTTGGTGCGTGGGCGCCAGCATTTCCGCTTCCAAGACGCGGAGGGACGCGCTCGCGACGGGGGGGGGGGGGACGGGGGGGC